CGGCGATGAGAGCGGGCGACGGGAGGTCAAGGCACCCCCCCAGAGCCTGGGCCTGAGCCCCTCCCCCTCAAACGTTGCCCCTGGTACCCCCCCAAAATGGCCCCGGACCCCACCTTCTCCTCCTCCTCCTCCTCCTCTTCCTCCTCCTCCTCTTCCTCCTCCTCCTCTTCCTCCTCCTCCCCCCCGTGCCGAAGGTGAGCATGGCCCCAGAGTCGAGTATTCAGGGAGGACGCACGGGGCGGCCTGTAAGGAGACACGCACATACACACAAGAACGCACAGTCTCCGGTGAGCACCTCGCTTGAGCTCGCTGGGGTTTCGCCACCGGGGCGACGCAGGCCAACGGGGGTCATTTGGGCTGGCCCCCAAACCCAAACAACCCCCAAATGGGGCTCCACCGCCCCATGCACATACAATATGGCGACAACTTGCTCACATGGCGCCAAAACCACTGGCCCGTAGTACCCCCTTTGAGAGGTCGCCTGGGCGGCCCGTTCTGTACTGGGTACGCCCCCACGGCGCCACAAACCAAGGGGTTTGTTCGGGCTGCTCCATTGGCCCAAAGGCCCCCCCCCAGCACTGGGGCTATCACTACGGTCGTTTTCCTTTGTGGGTGCGCCAACAAGGCGCCACAAACCAAAGGGGGGGTCGGGCTGTTCCTCCGGCCCGACGGACCCCCCCAAACCGGTGTCCACCACCGTTCGCACTGTAGCCTACGTAGGCGCCCTTGTCGGTTGTCGGTTGCGCCATCAAGATGCCATGCACTCCCTCGGCAACCGTGGCCCACGACCACCCCGCTGTCGGATGATCAACGTCACGGGAGTTATTCGGGCTGTTCCTTTAGCCTTCAACCACCCCTTCAACGCAGCCACTACCACGGGCGGACGTCTTGTGTTCTGGGTGCGCCCACAAGGCTCCACAGACAAGGGGGGGTGTTTCGGACTGTTCCCTTAGCCCCAAGGACCCCCCATAACGGAGTCCAACACCATGTGCACTGTAGCCTGCGCAGGCGCCCCCGTTGGCCGTGGGTTGCGCCATCGAGGCTCCACGCGCCACCAGGGGCGCTTTGTCTCCTGACGGCCCCGCCGTTGGATGCTTGAGAGCGTCGTCGAGGAACCGCCAGTCAGGTGGTTTGTTCGGGCTATTCCGTTGGCCCGAAGAACCCCCCCCCGCGCCGGAGCTCCCACCGCGAGCGGTCTTTTTCTGTTCTGGATGCACCAACAAGGCGCCACAAACCAGGGGGGGTGTTCGGGCTGTCCCTCTGGCCCGAAGGACCCCCCCAAGCGGTGGACACCGCTGCGCACACTGTAGCCTATGTAGGCGCCCTTGTCGGTTGTCGGTCGCTTGCGTCCTCAAGGCGCCACGCGCCACCATGGCAACCTCAGGGCAACGATCCGTTCGTCTTCTGCTCTTCGCTTGCTCCGCTGATCTTTGTCAGGCACCCGTGCATCATTGGTTTACCTTTTTCAAGGGGTCGGGTCCTTACCTTTCGGCTTTCGGAGGCCTCTGGAAAAGGTGGCGGGCCAAAAGGAAGGGCTGCCGCGCCCTGCCCCTCCAGGGGTCCACGGGCGGGCACGAACAGCCGGCCCATGAGAGCCGAGCCCGAATTCCCGCTGCGCCACCAGCGCCGACGCCTTTGACCTTCTGGTGTGTTTTAAGCCCCCTACGCCCAGTGGGTTAGCAGGTGTATTCTGGCCTCTGGAAGCCTCATGGGCTCCAGGCTGTTCTTGGCGGTCTGTTAACATTGTGTTTGCCTGTCGCGTGATCGCGTTGGTGCCGGTTGCGAAGTGTGCTCTCGTCCTCTAGGGTGTTGCACCGCCTCGCGACATTTATTATAGGTTCCACTCTTAAGCCTCAGCTATCCCACGTGACGGGATTGCTCATGTGTACTCAGCTGTGGCAAGGAGCAAACTTTTTCATCATCCTGCGGCAACTGATATCCCAGTTGGTGGGCTTGCCCGCGTCTGTGCGAGTAGGTCCCCCCTGTCAACCGCAGGGTCGGCATTGACCGTGGCAGCCTGAACGGTCGCTGTCCAACTGGCTTCACCCTTACCGTCCTGTGGGGTGAGTTGTGAGGGAAGCGCTCACATACGGCCCTGGACGTTTCCCATGAGAATACTTCTTCGTACCGCACACAGAAACTTTAACATTCTTGGGACAGGTTTGCCAGAGGTAAACACCCCAACTCGAAAATTGGCGCCTGGCCTTTTGCATTGACGACCGTCTCCCCACTCTGGCCTCTTTTCACATTAGTGCTCACTTGGTCGCTTGCGGCCTGTGGAAAACATGTTTCGTCACATCCTGCGGCTGTTTGCGCAATCAGCGGATCGGTTCACTCCGCGGGGCTGGTGGCCCATACCGACCGAGGTCCCCGCAGAAATGTTTGGTAGCATGTACGCGTGTGGGCATGCTGCTCTCATCACGGCCCCATGGGGGGTATTCCGCCCTCCCTGGAGGCCCGCTGCAGCCTCCCAACGACCGCGTTTTTATGTGTCGTTTCTCTCGCTCTCTCTCTCTCTCTCTCTCTCTCTGGACACCGTACTCGCAAGTACTCGCAAGCACATTTGAGGAACGCGTGCGGGCACGTAGTTGTCCACCGGACAATTCGGCGTGCTCCCCACACCAGAGGGTTCATCAACCAGAACGTAGAGCACGCACGTTCCGCACTGCCAGGGGCGCGTTCGCATACGACCCTGGCCTTTTCCCATGCAAGTACCTATCGCACCACACAAACTCAGGACTTCAAGGATGAGACTCCCAAGCGGTCGTGGATCACCGAACTCTGAGCGTCGCCTCATCCTTAAAGATGGGCTTAGGCGCCCTGAAGCCTATAGCGTACTTGGCAGTCCTCCTCCTCCTCCCTCTCCTCCTCCTTCTCCTCCTCCTCCTCCCCCTACTCCTCCTCCTCCTCCTCCTTCTCTTCCTCCTCCTCCTCCTCTTCTCCTAACACACCATCGCGGCCATCGAGCACGAATCCCTCCAGGTTGCGAAGCCTGACGCACGGCGAGCCAGCGACCCCCCAGCGCGGAGTACCCTCTGGGCCCCTCTAGGACCAGGCGGGCGAGGCCGTGGCCCAGGCCGCCGTGCGGAATGCATGCACGTGCGCGGCGAGGCGATGGTAATAATGCAGGGGCCCAGGGACACACAAAAAAGTAGACACAAGTGCCAGGATTCCCCATTTTTACATATTGTTTCTGGGATGCCGTCTTCCCCCCCGCTCCACATATTTTCGCATATGTTCTGGGGAGTCGACGATTCATTGTGTGCCTGTGTGTTCCCCCCTCCTGAAACAAGTTGCGTGATATATGGAAGAGAAAGGAATGATAATCCTTGTGATTGGAGTCAGCTTGCGTGGGTAGTGCCGTACTGTTGTGCGGGGTCGTTAAACACTGTGCTTTATGTAGTCATTCAGTAATTGACGTAGTCGATGATTTCTGGCGAATGCTACATACTGAACGCACCGCCCGCGGTGGCAACATCAATCAACGTCAAACTGGAAGATCGGATGGCGTCGGAACGTGCATCCCGTCGGCAAGGCGTCGCAATCGAATCGGATCGGCTGCGCCTGGATGCACAGGACCGCATCGGGTCGTCGGGGAGTGGAATCGCATCGATCGATGGTCGCGTCGAGCTGGCCAGAATCGATCACTGGGCCGCCCGGATCGGCACGGCCCCTGGCGGCGTGACCGCCCCAGTCCCCCCCGTCCTCCCCCACCGCCGACCCCCCCCCCCTCCCAGGCAAAAACGCCCGCAGGGCCGCTGCAGGGGCAGTCTGCGTGGCAGCGCAAGCGGACAACTGCGCCCATCACTAGGGGGAAAACAAACCTACCTCGCTTTTGACCACCCTCGCTTCCAAGAGATACCAAACGATGCAAAATTGCAGCATGTACTGGTCAGGCCACTTGACGAGGCGGCGCGTGGTATGGCCTGGTTTTTCCTGGAAGCGAAAGCGGGGTAGGTAATGCATGCTCTGAATCACGCCTGGACACCCTCTGGACAGGCCCAGGTGCAGAGCACAGGCAGCAAAAGGGCACACCGTCAAGGCGCAGAATGAGGATGTGCAGCAAGGAGGCACGTGGGCCCTGGAGGGCCATGTTGGCGTTTCCGAGCGGAGCTGGCCAACGAAAGTCGCCGAGGATGGGCCGAAGGGGCGAGGATGCAAGGGCAGCATTGGAAAGTTGCTCATCCTTACTATGCGGCATGACTGTGCTGCGCTCACAATGGGGCCTAGGACAATGGAACATCCTTCACGAATATGAGACTCTCCGCCGGCCAAACCGCACAGAATCTCCGAGGGCACCCTCACCAGGATGCTCCAACACATCCAACAAACACGAAGGAATTCAGAGCACCTCTCCGAACAGACCTCTGCCTCTGCTGGGGTGCGTTCTGACAAGAATTTCGAGGCGAATCCAGCGGTGGCGACGAAGGCCTCCCAGGAGGCCCAGAAAAGGGACAACGGCCGAAGGGTCGCGGTATGGGTACGCCTTCCTCCTCTTAGGTCCGACTGTATGCGACTCGGCTGTGCTGCGCTTGTCAGGATCATCGCCAGTGCGCGGGCGAAGCCTTAGGAGGCGGGCGGGCACAAGACCGCCGTCTCCAGAGACAGGCCAGCCGCGCGCGCCCCGCCTCCCACTCGGAGCTGCCGGGGAACGACTCCATCGTGCTGCTCTGGTGGCTCTGCGGGAGGGGCGGGCGTACAGACGACTTCCACGCGAAAGCATTTGCCTTCGGTGGCAACTCATGGGAGCCTCTTCTACCATCTTGTCGTCTCTTGCGAATCGACGCTTGTCGACGCTAGTCGACGCTGAATTGACGTTCACTGACGTGAAATTGGCACTATCTTATCGACTCAAAAACGCTAATCGACGCCAGTCGACGCTGAAAACGGACTTACGAGAGCACACAATGCTCCCATGATTCCCTCTGGCATGCTAGAACAGTGGCACACGGCGCCTTCAAATGATAACGACTGTCCAGACGAGCATGCTAACCTCTGTGAGCGTGTGCGGGACGGGACGTGTGGGTGTTAGAAGCCGCGCTTGTGCATGTACAAGACGCGGGCTGCTACACCGCACAGCTCCATGTGTGCAGTATCTCGGCCAAGGCGCTTACTGCAAGTTGGTTGCATGCTAGGCGCGCGTCATGGTGCCGCATACCCCTTGACATGATGCTACAATGTCACACGCATGCCGGTCCTAACCGCAGGATGCGCCGTGGTGTCACAGACGTGTATGCACCTTCTTTAATGTGAGTGCCCGTCGGTCGGAGGAAGTGGGTAGAAACATGAAGCGGGAATGCGTTGAAGTAGAGTGAGTCTCCGCCCGCCCCGAAGACGAAGAGAAAAGGAAAACCACTCGAGCCCTGAAGTAGGAAGGCGCCTAGAGTGGATCGGAATCTAGGAATCTATCAAATACATACTTTCATTGACCCGCATGAATCGGTCTTTGCTCTGTACTTCGCGGGCTCGATCGCGCGCACGTGGCTTTTGGTGTCTTCTGGTCGTGATAGTGCTGGGAGAAGCAACCGCAGTGTCAACCGCAGTGTCAGCCAATATGGTCAAGCAGGGATCTCGGACGAGATGGATAAGTCTCAAAAATCTGAAGGATTCCAATCTTGGTTTGGACCACCGGAAAGTGTACAGCCAACATGGCACGATGCCCAACAACGAATCAGCTGCCAATGGTGCGCCGCTGCCTTCTGTCTCGAATGGACAAAGACCGCGGCGGCAACGACAGCGACCCGTGCCCAAAAGGAACAAGAACTGCTGTCACTCTTCGTCCCACTTCTTGCTGTACCTATTCCGATCGTACCGGCCAGAGAACTAAGAAATCCAGGTGGATCCAACAATCGTCGCTAGATCCTCAGGAAACCTGATTGTTGGGGATAGGCCTGGCAAAACATATGCGAGGCAGGAGGTTATCCATAACGGCCACCTGGGGAATCGATCTTCTGGCACTCAACAGGCGATGGATGGGGATACAATTGCCCGCCCAACGCCCGGAGACAATATCCATACCAACCGACTGCTCAGGTCCCTGAAGAATGATCCCAAAAAGCAGTGGTGATGGATAAATCCCTGTCTCAGAACATTCCCGTACGCGGCGCCGTAATCCACTTCTTCACGTAGCACTTTCGCCCGCTGCCGTCGTCCACCACCCCGGTGATGTTTCCCGCGCCCTTGCCATCAGACCACGAATCTGCGGGCGTGGTCAGGAGGCCAGCGGCAGAGTGGAATCTGTAAGACAAGATAAGACAGCGCCTTGGAAAGGCCGGAGGGTGAACACACACAGAAGACAGGCAACGTTAGAAAACAGATGTGCCTTCGATTGTGCCTCCCTGGTCTGAACACTGCCAAGAGGCCGGACGCTCTCTGCTCACACGGCAGGGGGACAGCGGGAGCGGAAAAGGGGACGTCGCCACCCCGCCGTCCTCGCCGCCGTCTCCTGGGACCCGACGCTGCGAGCAAGCTGTGCCACCGCGAAAACCCACGCCCGAGGCCTTAGATCGGGAGGCGTAAAAGGTGGGTGCCCCAAAACCGCGTGGTGACAGACCCGGCGGTGACCTCGAAATCCGCAAAGACCTCACCGCACGGTCCGTCACCACACGGTTTTGGGACCCTGGAGGCTCCAGTCGCCCGAGACATCCTCGGAGAACGACCCAAGTCCCAAAACCGTGCGGTGACCCCGAATCCCCACCGACTCACCACACGGTGTGGTCACCACCCCGTTTGGGAGCCCCCGAAAAAGGTGGACTAGGGGCAGAGGTGGAGTTGAGATGAACATCGCTCTGCACGGCTCCCGGGAGAAAGAAATGTGTGCATCCAACTGACTCCGTGCCCTCACCCCACCTCAGGATAACCCCCCCTCTACGATCACCTGGCTGAACCACACCTTCCTGATGCATGTTTCGATCCATGCCGATCTGTGATGGCCCTCGGAACTAGGGAAAAAGCGCCCAGGGTGCTCTGGTTTGGGGTCTCTTGGAGGTCTCCTTAATGCCTCTCGGGGCCTCTTGGGACATCTCTTGGGCGGTTTTTTGGAGGCTTCTTGGGACGTCTTGGGGGTCTCTTGGCGGTCCTGGGGGACTCTTGGGCGTTGTGGGTGCCTCGGGGAGGCCTCTTGGGGCCGCTTTGGGTCCTCTTGGGGGTTTCTTGGGGGCCTCTTGGGGTCATCTTTGGGCTATCTTGGGGCCATCTTGAGGCCTCTTGGGGCCCGCGCGGAGACTTGAAAGCGTATGTCTGTGCGGTGATTTCTTCTTCGATGCTGGGCGAACCCGCCTGGGAGCCTCTGAGGACCTCCGCGGCCCGATCACGAAGGCGACGTCGACCCGGCCGCGTCCAGATGTCGACGTCGCCCCTCCTCACCCTGTGCGTCCAGGCTCCGCCCAGACCTCGCCCAGAATCCACTAGAAAACGCAGGGAAGTGTGGAGCCCTCTGAGGCTCCCATCGAGGACAACACGATCGACCGCCCCTCTTCGCCCTTGCGTCCAGACTCCGCCCAGACCTCGCCCAATCGATGCAACGCCTGGACCTCGGGGCCCCCGGCGCCTGGGAAGGGGGCCGGAGGGGGGGGGCCCAACCTCGCCCAACATCCAATAGAGAACGCAAGGAAGCGTGTAGCCCTCTGAGGCTCCCATCGAGGACAGCACAATCGATGCAGCGCCTGGACCTCGGGGTCCCCGGCGCCTGGGGGAGGGGGCCGGAGAGAGGGGGGGGCGGGGTGTGTGCCGCGTTTGGGCGGCGCGCCCAGGGGCGAAGTGGACGGGGGTGGGCCTTCTCAGACGGCTCGGAAGGCCTCAGCCGTCTGAGAAGTTGTCTCTAAGCGTAAGTCGAGCCTGTCTCCCTGTGGGGGATTTTTCGACAAAAAAATACACCCCAAAAATGGTAACACTAAATATTCCACAAAAATGCCTGGGGACTATTTTTTTGTATATGTTTTGGCCTTTTTGGGGCATTTTTGGGGGATCTTGCATTTTTCGTCGAAAATATCCCTGTAGGGAGACAGGCCCGACCTAAGTCTAAGCCTCCCCCGAAGACGCCGAAGACTTCTCAGAACGCGCGGGGGCTTCGAGGAAGTCCCGCCGCCCTCTGAGAAGGCCGTCTCCCTCCTCGCCGCCGAGCGCGCTCACATCTTCAGTGCAGCGAGGCATCCACTCGTAGAGCCATGGGATGATGGCAAGCGACATCGCTGACTGTGGTTCGTCTGCATTGCGCTGGAGGCTCTCGTTCGGGTGCTAAGACTAGAAGGGAACAAAAACTCCATAAACATGAACTGTCGGCGCTCCGCACGGCTTTCCTGGATCTGCGCTGGACCCCCATCCCTGGCGCGCGCCAGGGGCGGCGCCGAAGGCGCCGCTGGGGGGGGGGCCCAACGCCGAGCCAGGAAATCCGCTCGGAGCGCCATACGTTCCTGCTTATGGCGCTTTCTCTTTTTCGAAGGACGCCGTTGGCCCAGCGCAGATCCAGGAAATCCGCTCGGAGCGCCCTACGTTCCTGCTTATGGCGCTCTCTCTTTTTCGAAGGACGCCGTTGGCCCAGCGCAGATCATGGAAATCCGCGCGGAGCGCTACACGTTTCTGTTTATGGCGCTTCTTCTTCTTCTTCTTCTCCGAAGGACGCCGTTGCTGCTTTTTCCCCTCCTGAACTGGCGCTCCCCCCCGCTCTCCATCGGAAGGGGGGGCATCTGAAGAGGCCCAAGGACACACAAATTCGCCGGCCCAACGGGCCAGGGCGTGCTAAGATCTCCGGTACCTGGTTAAGAGTATTTCTAGTTCGCGCGCGCGGGGCGGCTTCTGGGGGTCCCCGGGCGAAAAGTACCCCGGCAAGGTCCCGGCAAGTCCCCGGCAAGGTCGGGTCAGAGATGCCGGAGTTCTGTTTCGGAGTCCAAGAGGGCTCCAGATCGGTCCAAGAGGGCCCCGAGAAGCTTTCTAGACGGTCCAAGAGAGGCCCGAGACGGCCAAAGATCGCCCGAACACGCCCCAGATGGCCCCAAGACAGCCCAAGAGGCCTCCAAGACGCTCCAAGGGCCTTCCAAGAGGCCTCCGAAGAGAGCCCCAAGTTGCCAAAATCGTTGATTTGCATTGTTTTTTCTATGTTTTTTTGCGTTCTGGCCTTTTCGCTTCCGGACGCTCCAAGAGGGCCCAAGAGGCCTTCAAGACTGCTCCAAGACGGCCCACGAGGCTCCCAAGACGGCCCCGGAGCGGCCCAAGAGCGCCCCCCAGACGGCCCAAGTGCTGCCCAAGGCGGACCAAGAGGCCCCAAGACGGGCCCAAGAGGGGCTCAAGAAGGGAACCGAGAACTGAAAAATCGAGCCCTCCGCCCCAGAAGGCGCCCAGGACCCCGAAAGAGGCCCCAAGAGACTCTCCAAGACACCCCCAAGACGCCCCAATAAGCTCCCGTGAGGCCCCAAGAGGACCAACAACGTCAGGCCCCAGGCCCCAAGAGGACCAACAAATACCGCCAAGAGCCCGCCGAAAGCCCCCCAAGAGACCGTCACGAGAGCTCAGCAGGCCCCCTGGAGGCCTCCCGAGTTCTCCAAGAGGCCTAAAAAGAGGCGCCAAGAGGCCCCAAACAGCCCCACCGAGGCTCCAAGAGGCCACGAACGCGCAAGCAAACGCCTGCGATGGCACAATACGGGCCGGCGGAATGAGCGAAGCGATTAATAAATACACAAATAAACAGATTCCCCATTTTTTTCCCATAGTTTCTGGGTGTCTGCCTTCCCGCCCACTCTCCATATTTTACCACATTTTCGGGGGAATCGAAGATGAATTGTGTCTGTGTTTCTTTCCCTCCTGAGCATCGGAGGGCGGCGTGCGCCCAGGTGGTGCCCCCCTCGCCCCGGCCTGGTCCCCAGCTCCAGCGGACGAGGGGAGGGAGGGTCCGCCGCCCGTGCACGGCGGGCCCGCGCTCGTGCCCGCGCCCGACGCCTGGGGAGAGAGGACGAGGCACGAAAAGGGGGGAATAGGGATAGGGGGGGGATAAAGGGGGGAATAGGGATAGGGGGGGAATAGGGAATAGGGATAGAGGCCACGAGAAGGGGGGGAATAGGGATAGGGGGGGGGGAACATCGGCCTGGAACCGGCGATGCATCGCCCATAGATCGGCGATCAGGCCTCCGAGGGTGAATCCGCACGCTCCTGGGCAAACTGGGGCCATCGGGCCGACGCAAGACTCGGGTACCAGGAACTCTTGACCTGACGGGGCCACCATAAAACTGACGAGACCCAATCTGAAACTTGACGCTAACTCCCGCTGCAAACATCCAAGGACAACCAAACCGTCAAAATCCAGGACGCGCTCGTCAAAAAACGTTGGCAAACCCAACTTCCGGCTTACGTGATTCTTACGTTTCCCCGAAACAAGGTATCGACACCGCAACTCATGGACCCTTTCGGGGGCGCGTTCTGGGCTGGAGTTCCGCGTGAATTTAGCCGCCGACGAGCCAAGGGAACCGCCGTCGGTATCTTCTCCTCCTTGGCACGTCGGTAGTCGGGGATCTTCTGACCCGGGTCAGTCAGGCCGTGCAGGAAGGATCCTGAACGACCCTGCAGGATCCTGCGCCCAACCCCGGGTCAATGCAACCCTGGCTCTGTAGGGTTAACGCCGCTCGGCTCTAGCCGAGGGGGCGCAACACCGAACTGGGCCGAGAGCTCGATCGATCGAGCGATCTTCTGGCTCCTTTCTTTTCGGCGGCGAGTGAGGGGGGGAAGTGCGGAGGCAGCTACTTGGAGGTCTTCGTCGGAAGGAGTAAGGGATATTAAGTCCCATTGGAGGGCAAGCCGGGATTAAGCGGGAGTTAGCCAGATCTCGGACCAGGGCAAAATCTGAATTTGACCTCCCAGGAGAAGTGGGGACTCCTGAGACGCCCCCGCGCGTCTTCCGCGCGGCTTCCTGCATCTTCGGGGAAGGCTTCGCGCACTTCTCAGATGGTCCAAGGACGTCCGAGCCTTCTTGGAATCGGGGGCGGCCAAGAGGGTGGTGTCCGAGAGGGGGGGGACGCACATCATGGCCGGCGGCATGTGCGCGGCCCGGCGGGGGGGCCAGGGACGCAATGCAAGAAGAAGAGGCGCCATGAAATCTGGGGAGATCTCATGGCCCCCGCCATGATATCCACCCCCCCTAGTCTGAAGTCGGGCCTGTCCCCCTGCAGGTGGATTTTCGACCAAAAATAAGAAATACCCCCAAAGTAAGCAAAA